TGGTTACCGCCCCTGCCGGGGAGAGCTGGCAGTACATGGATCTGCGTGCACAGCAGTCCAACGTGCACGGTTGGCAGCGAAGCATCGTTGCGGAGATTCTATGCAAATCGATAACGCTGCAACCTGTGTAAAATTTCTGCAGGGTCAGTGCATTTTTGCAGGTAGAAATTTTGGTGCGCATTTTCTTGTGAAGCTTCTTTCAACATTTTTTTTTTTAGAATGCATGGTGCCACCGCAGGTGGCGTAGCTATGCTATAGATCAGTTGCTTAGCAAAGGAATACATTACCATCGTCCAAATGTTGTGATGTGATCATCATAATGCTGCTATGACACCTAACAACATTTGGTATTGTGCATGCAGCAGGCTGCGTAAATGCGTCAGCGAGCACGAGTGCCTTAATTAACTACCAGCTGCTGTAAGTTCGCAAATCAATCCTCCCGTCAGCCAGCAGGTGTTAAAGTACCGCACAGAGGAAATGTGTAATCGCATGAATTTCTAATCCGACAGACTTACGGTCATAATTCTTTCACTAATATCCACTTTGGGACGTGGAAGTGCTTTCTTCTCCACCAGAACAGACCATCAGTAACTAGCCAGCGTATTCTCCGTCTTCGTTTTCCAACGTTATCTCGCCGCTTATCGTTAAACGACGCACCCACACGTAGTGGGAAACAACTGCGTCCCAGATTCGTTTATCACCTGTCCACGAGGCGACGTGATCACAAAAGACCACCGTGGCAATTCAGACGAGGGCACCACCCCACAACTGCCCCTATTCAGCGCCGGCCGATCGCTCCATCCAGACCGAGTACGCCCGAACTGGCCGCAAATGGCCTCAGATATTATCCACGTCCGCATCACCGATAGTTATGACTCCCGTAAATGGCATGCGAGGCGTCTGGGTAAGTGGCGCTCGTGGCCAGCCCGGGCCGCCCAGGAGGCGTGCCCCGACCGCCTCGTGCGCGCCGCGAGCCTGGGACTGGCCGGTGGAGGACCGCGGCGGCGAGAGCAGCCGGGCCCCGGGGCTGGGCAGATTGGGGCCCGCCGGGGTGCTCGGCCGCCTCCCGCCAGCGCGGCAGATTGGGAGGTATTGCAGAGCTGCCCCACTGGGGTCATGCAGGAGGAAAATACCGCTAGGTGAACGGGAAGCGTGCCAGACGGTTTGTTATCGGCCCAGGAGTGGAGCACTTTCGGCGGATTTAAAGGCAATGCGAGCGAATTATATTGCCGTTCGAAGCAGATGCCCAGCATCTATGCCGAACATCGGTTGCAGGCTTGAAGACATGCTTCCGCATGTCGTGACAAAGGAATAAGCAAGAGCATCGCGTGCTTAATTTTTCTGCCGATCTCGTGAGCGCGACTCGCGCTTAACGTACCGTTCGTGCTTACTGATGTCACTCACCAAGTGCCCACGAGTTCTGCACATCCACTAGCCACCCTTTTGTTTTACAACAAAAGCAACGCAAGGCCTTACCCCCTGCATCTTGCTTCCCACTGGGGATCCTTTCCCATGCCGTCCGCGGCATGTCAGTCTCCCCAGCGCATCCGACAGCCGCAGCTGCAGACGGAGCTGGTCCGACCCCGGGCCCCGTGCGGCCGCAGCACCCACCATGGTGACGGGCGCAGACCGGCCGCCAGTTTTGACAGCCGCCACCGGCCAGGTGTATCCGAGGGCAAACCGAGCGGCGGCCGAGCCAGGCCGCCGCCCCGGGCGATAAGACCGTGACCTCGGCGGTATCTTGCGCGGGTCAGGCAACCCACGTGGCCGGGCCTGTCAACTGCGCAGTCGGCTGGGCCGAGCCAGGGGCGTGTTCGGAACACATTTGCGCCGCGCATGTGCAGTAAAGGAGGGATTTGGCGTGCATTTCGCCTGGACCCTATGGTTTGGCAAGTCTTTTACGATCGGTAGCGTGACATGAGAGCCGCCTCACACGATGACGGCGTCATCAATGCTGACTGGGAAATGGAACAGCTCTATCGGAAACATTTCAAGAATGACGAGTCTTGCTAGCGAATTTATGTTTGACTGAGCTTGGTTGAAATGGATTATTCGGATCTGAAATCAAGCAAATGAAGCTGGATCCGAGTGTTCTTATAATGGTGACTTGCGAGCGTTTGAACTACATGAATGAATGAATGCGACACCGTGATCACTAATGCTTATAATGTCCTTCATTTTATTTCCGTGCCTAACAGCTTGGTCTGCCTGCCGCCTGCGACTGCCTACCTTTAAACGCCACCGCCTCTCGGAGCCCAGCAGTCTTCGTATCGCTACTCGGCAAACATCTTTGACTGCGCCAGCCTCTACGCTAAGCATTCGTGTATTTTGTGTGGGTTTTTGTCACCCGTTTATCATTTTTTCTTATTTAAACTGTGACGTATAGTGATTCGAATCACGCAATAACCACGCCGTGTTATGATTCTTGAACTGTGAAACTGTGGAAATGCATTGAATATAATTGAGGCACGGGCTGGCCAAAGACAATAGTGCAAACTTGCACGCCTGACAAACCGCACAGTTCTTTGGGCTTTGAACCTTTCAACCCCAGTCCAGAGCCCGGAGCATATGCGTTGTTGGGGCTGCGCGACGCACGCCGCTGCTGAGGCTACATGGCGTCGCCTGTCTCCACCCTGGCAGGAATTGCGGGCACGAGCCCGCAGTAGCACCCACTGCCAACTTAATGTACAGATTCCCAAGCTATGTTTAACTAGTTGGGTGACTCACTTTCAGTGTCATGTTAACCACACCGACTCTTCGTGGGTCGCGGTGGAGTCATGGGATGCTCAAAACGGAAGGGACTTTCCCCGCATACTGTCAGTACCTATGCAGGGCAACTCCGCATCCGACGAGCGTCATGATCAGCGAAGCCATAAACGAACCCGATTTGGTCAAAACGGAATCAATCGCAGGATCGAATTACATTCCGCTGAAGTTCAGCTCAAGTCTTCGCTGGCGGCGTGCACTGCGTCGCGCCGAGCGACGGATTCTCAGCGTGGAAAGGTGCGCATGGTGCTCACATTTGCGCAACTTAAAGATCAAAGAGCAAGAGGGAAAAACATTGGTAACCGAGTGCTTAATCGACCTCTACCATTACGCGCCGGGCGCAGGATGAGCTTGTAATACACATTTATATCCCAAAAGTATACTACAGCCATAATGGATTACTTATACAGGTACCAATATCTATCACTATGGTTGCCAGGTATCGATAGCTATATACTTGACAGCATCGGCCGCATCACTGCAGTTGTCTATCTCTCGAGAGCGATGTCTTCACTTTCGACTGACGTCTGTTCAACCCGCAATTTAATGCTCGTCCATTACGCCTGCTTGCGATTGCATCTGGACTGCAGCCTCCACGCTCCGGCATTGTTGTCCGCATGCCAAGCCATACCATCATCCCATGAAACGTATGAGCCCCCCGCGATAAGCACGAGGCCGACCCCGGCGCCGGTGCCATGGCAACTGCAGCACATCCCTGTGTAATCAGCGGGCTGGCCGGGCTGCGGGCCAGACGGACCGACGCCGTGACGTGTCCGACCCCGCCGTCGACACGGGAGTGCCGGCCGGGACCAGAGGCCCATGTGACGCAGCGGCCGCGGAGGATGTTGCGGCAGCCCTGCTGACAGCAGTCGGCCGGCTGACATCAGGGGCGAGCGACCCACCGGCGGCGGTATGCACGTCCTGTTTGTGCGCGCGCGCCGCGCCAGGACGGCCCGGTGACAGGCGCGCCGCTCCGACCGCGGCGGGGCAGGGTTCGAAAGAAGCGGCGACCATCGGTGCACAGCGGTCCGGCCGCGGGCGGGGCGTGGGACGCGGAGACCAACACACTCACTCACCGCGCCGGCCGCGACGGGGCAGGGTTCGAAGGAAGCGGCGACCATCGGTGCACAGCGGTCCGGCCGCGGGCGGGGCGTGGGACGCGGAGACCAACACACTCACTCACCGCGCCGGCCGAACGGGAACACCGCGCCATTCCAGAATATATTCTTCAATACACGGCAAACAGACGATACGTGGACACCCTGATACCAAAGCCACGCGGCGGCCACACCACGGCGTCGCGCGTTTGAATGCTGGCAAGAAAAGTGTGCTTGAGTGTGCCAAGGCGCTAGCACGCGCCGGGCCCTTCGTGCGGGCGGCGGCAGCCGGGCCGGCGCGCCGCCGGGACACGGGGCTCCGCTTCGGGCGCGCTGTCGTCTCCAAACGCAGCGCCATCGGACGCGCCGCGCGAGACGGTCACACCATCGGCGCGCGGCGGATGGCGCGGCGCGTCTCGGACATCGGTGAACGCTCAAGCTCGGGTCGCGGGGGACGGGCGGTGGACAGGGGCTCGCTGCAGGACGGTGCCAATGTCACAACGCTGGTGGATCAGGGCGTGACGTCGGGCTTCGTAATCAAATTTGAGCGCAACACCGATGCCAAACGAATACATAGCGTGCAACATTGAAAGCAATACACGACTGTTATAAATCGTCTGACTTCATGCTAAGCATTAAATAGGGTTGTCTTTTTAAACCTGGTTGGTCATGACACTAAGAAATAATCTTCATGCCCAAGGCAAATGCACTCCTGAGAACGAATACTTTCGCACAAGGACAACGTCATAAACAAAACACCGCGCCGCATAACATGCAAAATAATGCGGGCCCAGACAACGTGATAAATCTCCCGCCATATGAATAAATATGTATCACATGCACCTACAATTACGCGAACATATCGGCTTCACCCGCCGCCCGGGCCTATGACGTATACAGACGGGCCTTTAGAGCCAATAGGAAGCCTCAAAGGCTGTTTGGCATTACGTTGAGAAGTCCAGCGCCGCTCACAGCTCTCGTCCCGGCCTGGGAAGTACGCGGCGACCTCTGGAATGCGGCCCGGCCGAGCCGCCGTGCCGAGACTACACAGCGCCGGGCGCGGCGCGGCGCGTGGTTAAATAAGCACATCTGTGGCGGCTGCCGGCGCCCGCCGCCGACAGCCGGCAGCCGACGCCGCCTGAAGACGGCGACGGCGGGGTGACGGCGCGGTAGCCCGGTGGGTCACGACCGTCGGGTCGGGTCAGCGGGACCGGGCCAGGCCGGCGGTGACGTGCCCCCTCTGGGCGGAGGCGCGGCAATGACGTCTGCAGAGCCCGAAGGCCGTCCACCTACGAGGCTGCCTTCAGCGTGGCTATGCAGCCTCGGAGCATGTCCACCTGGGCCTGACGCAGACAAAGAAGGTACGGCATCATCACTCGCCCTCAATCGCTTGGAGGCAGCCGTCCCAAGGCGGCGCGGCGCCCAGCCCCGCGACATCTCCGGCCGGGCGGGTTGGTAGCACAGTGGGCGTTCTGTTTGTACACGTGAGGCGGAACGCTTGCATATGGCGTGGTTCGGTAAGCAGGGCGGCGATAGGCTCCCAGGCCGCCCGAAGGCCCGCGACCTGCGACGCGACGCATTAAACAAGCCTGCGACGAACATGGCTTCCCGTGTTATTCTTCACCAGGCAAGCCCAGTCACATTTGGGACAGCATGCAATCAAGATGTAATCAACTTCGACCGCGCCAAATACAGCCACGGCAGATGCAACAGATGTTCTTCACGGGTGGTCGCGACCCAGCAGCCGCATGCTTGCTGAGGGCGCAGCGCACTGAACCCCGTCCACCCCCGCTCCGCAGCGATGACTTAGCATTGTCGCGAGCGTGACGCAGACGCGCCGATAAACGGCTCGGGGGCTCATAGTGGTGCCCTTCCCCGGGCTGGATTCAGGCCGGTGCACTTCCACCACCTTGGCCGCTCCTTACCTTTCCGTGCTTTATCTCCAGCTCAGAAAGCTCCACTAGATGCTTCTTGAATGCCTTTACCCGCCGGGTTTTGAAGCTTTTCAGCTCTGAAAATGAGCGCACAGACTTCCAGAGCTGCATGTCAACAGCAAGCACGGAAGGAACACTTGCACGACGCCATATGGGCCTGAGCACACTTAACATACTCAACACTCGACAGTGCATCCCCAAAACAACTTCCACATCGCTAATACACTTAAATGCTTTTCAAAAAAGAAAATGTCGGAGCATTTCAGTAACTGTAGATTTAGGATAAGTCCGCTCCTCGATTTGATCGCTGCTCTTAGCCAGACTTGTACTTGACTCGCAATCAACTCATGAAAAAACGGCATCAACTGCGGAATCGACCTAATTTTCACTGAGTCATCCAAATCGTCAGCAAGCTGACTTATGCAGAAATGGAGTTTTGAGTCAGACACGGAACGATCCCCATCTCTTGGGAGTTATAGTCGTAGTCAGATCTCATATAAGATCTTCATTCATTAGGAACCTTCAAAGGCGGCACTGACAAGTCACAATTTACGGATGTCATCATCCGAAAGTCCCATTCCCATGCGATGCGTTTGGCCAACGACAGATCATTTTTTTCTGAAGGACGACGAGCGAATGGTTGCAGTCCATTGCACCTGCCGGCGGTCTGCGAGAAACTGGCTGGCTGCCCCCCCCCCCCCCCCCCACCCCTAGACGAACAAAAGAAAAAAAACACGAGGATCAAACCATAAAAAGACAACGGTTCCATTGCGCAAGATTCATCTATCCCCATCCCAGTGCGTCTCAGGCCTAGGAACTGTTCTCCCACAAAGACACAACAATGACCAACCATCCCTGATCAAGCGAAATGAGCCAGCGCGCGAAGACCAACAGGGGAATAAGTTTCCACGCAGCTGGCGAGCAGTAAAACGGCGAACGCATGTAGCCATTTCTCAGCGGCCGGCGGCGCACAAAGCCGGCACCGGGAGCCGATTAGCCATGACGTTCGGGCGCCGCCACAGCGGCCGCGGCGGCAGCTGGAGGCGTTCGCGGCAGCCGGGCGCCGTCCATCACGTCACCGCGCTAACGCACACGCGGCACGTGGCGTTCAGCGCCGTGAGGGAGCACTCAACGCGCGCAGCGGCGGATGCGTGGACTGAGCAGAGGGAAACGAGAATCGCGTCCACAGAGGAGTGAGGTCTGGATTTGCACAGCTGGCAGCGTAACCGATCGTTTAACAGACTAAAGAGATTCATTAAAACGAATTGGATTTGTAATGCAGCGGCGTTTCACGCGTTACTACCGGGCGATCGCCACTGCCGCCACATGCAGCAGTTCCCAGAGAGCTCACCTTCTTTGGCCTTCCCCGAGATATGCTCGAATCTCTCACACGCCTGCTGCTGGGCCATCTCCGCCTGTAACAGCAGGCACACCGCATTACGCAAAGCCAACACGAGAGCACGACACCTGGTCAACTCAAGCAACCCTAGCATCCAGATCCCTCAGCAGACACTACAAGCTCGTCAGCGGCGCTGAAGTCGGCTCCCATACCTCCTTAACGATTTACAAACGCTGTTCTCTATCGCAGACGGCACATGCGCATGGCTCTGCCGGGAAGCTTTGCAACATGAATGGGAGAAACCACGAGGCCACACGGCCAAGAGAAACGGGAGGCGAGGCCGTAAGATGACTAAAACCGAGGGAATGCCAAGCAAACAAGGCGTTTAGCGCTTTTGATCGGAACATGCTACGGGGCCGTCACGTGACAGTCTGCTGTTTTAAGTCTGGGGGCTTCCATTTAGCTGACGCTGTAACTTCCGAGACGCCGATAGTGCGCCGAGTGGGCGGAGGAACGCTGCCAACGTAATAAGGCACGACACCCTGCCCATAGCCAACTTACGTCCACGACATCCACGGCCTTTAGAAGCGGCATGAAAGCGAAAAGCGGTTAGCGAGACAAAAGCAGCGCTCGCCCGGCCAGCAATCCAGAACAAGTGATACGAGCCGGCAGAAGGATACTGGGGGCAACAAACAGTGTGTCGGGTGCCACTGAGGATTCGTGACGCACTCAGCTGCTGAGGCTGAACGGCGTCGCCTGCTTCCCACCCTGGCGGGGAGGGCGGGCACCACGGGAAATCGATCTCCGTACCTCTGGCTTCCCAGACGCGCAGCGGTTAACGCAGGCGCGTTTATCGCCACAGTATTGGCACCCGGAGCCAACAAACACACCACGCAAAATACAAATACATATATGCAAGGTCCAAAGGCATGAAGAACAAAGAATCCCAACTAAGAATTCCAACATGAAAAATATGAGGGGCTAAGCCTTTCAAGAAGTAGTAAGTTCGTTGACTCCAATAAAACCAGAACAGGGGGAGACAATATTGTCTCAAATGAACTCAGCGCCCGTAATGACAACACGTGAAGACATGTTGCGCGTCGGATACTTCGTAAGCCCAGCAAAGACGGAGTGGGTCCCTACAAAGCCATGACGCAATATTAGGAGGAAAGACCTACTCTGCCTCAAAAATGACTGCAATAATTAAATGTCGATCAGCAATACAGGATATGCTACCATGACCTGAAGGCCAGGACGTATCCGTTCAAAACTACCTCAAGCCTTAACGATATGATAACTTCGAGGCGACTGAGCCAGTGGAGACGCACAAATATAACTCTCCATAGCCCTAACCTGCGTCTCTTCCCACGTCAGCCACCACCTCGCCAAACCGTCGCACACGACACTGTCTCCGCGGCGATGGCTTTCCAGCAGGGCACCACACATCAGCAAGCGTCGCACCGTCCCTCCCCACACCGACACACGCCCCTCCCCCCCCCCCCCCCCCCCACTCACCACGTGCACGTCCTTGTTCTTGGCGCGCGCCCTCTCGAGTCCCTTGTTGGCCTGCTCGTAGTCGGCCAGGCAGCGGAGCCGCCGGTACAGCAGCGCCTTGACGGCCGTCGCGTCCCGCTGGTAGTACCGCAGCAGGTCCGACAGCTTCAGGTCCTCGTCGCTCGTCACGCGGTTCTCGATTTTCTGCCGGCGGCCGCGGGAGAGCGGCGCGTGACGCGGGGCAGGGGTGTCGCGAGGGGGCGGGGGGGGGGGGAGGGAGGGGATGGCGGGGTTTATGGGAGGGAACCGAGAAGGCCGACAGCAGGCAAGAACGGCGCCAAGCACGAACGTTTCGACACGATGCGTTGATGGGGTATCGTTAATGACTGCTTGATGCGATCACACCTTCACTGAGCGATTGTTGAGCCATTGGCATGGCATGGTCGAGGCATGGTGGGAGGCAGAATGTTCCCAAATGGCCAATGCTACCCAAATAACACCAACGGCGCGACCAACGCATCTAAAATAATTAAGAGCACAATGAGAACATGATAAAAACCACGACAAAGCACGACCAAGAGCCCGAACTCAGCATTATAAATCTCAGACAGCCATCTATATCGCCTGGCCACCACATCCACCAAGACATGGCGCCATGCATCACCTCCAGGGACCTCCCCCGACAGGGACGCCTCACCCTGACTTTCTCGAAGATCTCGGAGACGCTGTGCAGGAAGCGGTCCAGCTCGTTGCTCTCGACCGTGCCGAGCAGCGAGAGCCCACCCGACACCTTGATGTAACAGTCGGCCACGTCTGCGGCACAGCGGCCGGTCAGCACCGCACGCAGTGCCCGGCGGCGGCGGCACCCGGCCTAAGAGCGCAACGCCGAACAGCAATCTCGCCATGTTAGACTGAACGTGTTTCGAATGACTATGGCGGCGTTAATAGGGTCATATTTCTTCGCCAGCTCGGGAACCACAAGCGATTTGTGAGTTGAGAACGTGGTTGGTTATTGCCTGGTTATTGACAGCTGGTTATTTTATGAGTTTCGCATGATAACATGGCGCAGCGTTTTTTTTTATTACTGTGACCGAACTGTTTCAGCTATTTTTCTCATCAAAGATAACACGTGTCTAGCTAGTCAGAGGCGGAAAATAATAGGCTGGATCGCACACTGTTCTACACTGCTTCCAACCCAATTAAAAGTCGCTACCACCAGCACCAGTCAGAATCCACGACCTACAGACAACCAACAGCCACCACTCGCTCTGGCTCTCTGCTTCCTCTCACATGACTAACTTTTTCGGCTGCGCGTCATACGGTCGGCGCGCGCCGTCGCCTCCTTGATGTGCTCGTGGAAGACGAGCACGAAGCTCTTCTCGTGGTCGAAGAACTCGTCGACGTCGCGCTGCGTGGCCTGCAGCAGCAGCTCGTCGGTCGTCTTGCTGAACGAGCGCATGAGTCCCTCGAGCCGCTCCTTGCGGTTCCGGCCGCGCACCGACAGCTGGTGACAAGAGCCGCAGCGGTTAGGTCCGGCCGCTGGGCTGGGAGCCGTGCTGGGATCAGCCCATAGTCAGCAGGTGGGTCAGCCCAGTCGGCAAGCGAGTCAGCCCACGGTCAGCACGTGGGTCAGCCCACAGTCAGCGGGTGGGCCAGCCCATAGTCAGCAGGTGGGTCAATCCAGTCAGCAAGTGGGTCAGCCCACTGTCAGCACGTCGGTCAGCCCACAGTCAGCACGTGGCTCAGCCCACAGTCAGCGGGTGGGTCAATCCACAGTCAGCATGAGGACCAGCTCACAGTCAGCAGGTGAGTCAGCCCAGTCAGTGGGTGGGTCAGTCCACAGTCAGCAGGCGGGTGTTGAGCGGACGTGGAGGAGTGGTCTGAGCGCCTGGATGTCGGCAAGGCGGTCGTTCGAGGGTCGACCACATGTTGCCATCAGGAAGCATTAAACGATGGTACAAAGCTGTGTAGACTTCCCGCGGTAGTGAGATAAGCAAGAAGACGTGCAATGAACACAAACACGTAATACAGGGAACTTTTTGCAAGCAAAAGACCAGTATGCACCGCATGCAGCAGCATCACACAACAGCAACAGTTCTCATCAATTACAGAATGGAAACACAACCCAGTATGCAGATGGTAAATCAACATAAACCGGCAAACAGTGATGGACAAATGCATTTTTCGACTGACACATTCACCATCGTTATACGTTCCGAAGACGAGGAGCTACAATACAAGACTCTAAGGTTCCCTACGGCGCATCCGCGACGTGTCCTCACATCTTGATCGTATTCCAGAAAGACCGTAAAGTTGTGCTCCTCACGGAACACGTTGTGACAGGCCAAACGAGTCAGGAAAGTCTCGTGCATGGCCACCGTCTTCTTGAACGTAGCCAGGTACTCCCTGTGGACAAACACAGCAGGAGAGATTAATCGTCGAAGGCACACACCCAGCAGCCAACAAAGCCAGAAAATGGCAATGCCGACTACGATGTCGACTGAAAGATTGATCAACCGTGGTCGAATGTTATGCTACTTAAACAATACTCCGTGACTTAGCGACCACGGATTATGTATCACACTTCTGACTAAGCTTCTGTGAGTACACTCGTAAACTAAATCAACAAGTAAATTTGCAGATGTTGATGCACACTGGCAAAAACGGCCCTCGGACGTACGATGCGCTAGAACTAGCTGCAAAATCTCGACGAGGCCTTTGGAAGACTTTTAGCATGAGGAGTGACACTGGACAGAAGAGTTCGAAAATGACACGATCTGCCCAGCGGCACTTGGCATATGCTCACTGTTCCAGCTCCTGCTTCATTTTGTTGAACTCCTCCTTGGTCATGTTGCCCTCGCCCTCCCCCAGCTTTTGCAGTTTCTCCCTGGACGCGTCAAAGTCCGGTCTAGGTGGCGCCGGAGGAATCTGCCAAAAACCCGGCCAGTTAGAGCGCCATGGGAAAGATGATTAATATGGTTTTAAGTGTAGAAAGTTCGGGCGCCAGGCAATTCGCAGCTGTTCATCAATCAACACGAGACCGCGAAGTTAACAGCCATGGTGCACATGACAAGAGCATACACTGACAGGCACCAGCATAAGCTTGAACCTTTACACGCAATCTACGCGATGTTCAGAAATAAAACACCGAAGACGGGTGGAGAAAATGATCTTCTACGACGTAATGCGACGTTACCTCGGGCACGTCTGCCTCAGGAACGTCTGCGCCTGCAACACTGCACTTGGTCACTGCACCTTAGTTGATGACGTCTCGACGGACATCATTCCGAGCGATACCAACCGGCCACGCATACCTCACCAGCATGACCACAGCACCATCAGTATGCCTGACTGTCACCTGCCATCTGACACATCTGTCTGAGCCTCGCTGGACTCACAATGAGGCCGAAGTACCGCTCATTCTCCTGCAGACAGTTGTGAAGCCAGATGAACTCCTCGTGTTGGCGAACCACAGAGAACTCTGGCTTGGCAAAGTAGGGCAGCGTCGTCTGGCGGAAAGTGAGTCATGAGTACACGCCTCACCAAACCACCCACTGGGTACTGGGCAACATGCATCTAGCAATGCAGGAGACTGCACAGGCTTCTATCTACAGAACAGATCGTCGAGGCGGGGGACAGCAGAGACATAGAGACGGCCAGCAGCGACCGACATCGGACGGAAGTCCCTGAGCTGATGGCTGCTTGAAACAAGGCAAGACTGGCTTGTTTCACGGGCAGACATCAGGCCACGCTCGTGCGCCGTGACCTGTGCGAACCAGCTTCCTACACGAGCTCGCCTCTGACAGGTCCGGCTGGGTCACCAGCCTCCATAGTAAGTCACGTCATTTGGAGCTATGGGTGTGCAGCAAGTTCACGTGCACCATCTGAACAGGGTCGCTTATTTCATCCTGCCAATAGCCGACTTACTGCGACTCCAACCTACCCTGGTGTGGACTGTGAACTTGACCTTGTCGCGCTCGCTGAGGGCGTCCGATATATCCACATGTAGGTGTGTATCGGACAGATCCACGGTGTCGGACCGACCCGGCTGGAACCACAGGCCACACCGTCAGCCGGAGCTCCGTCACGTGCCCATTCAATCACCGCTGCAGCTTTACCGCCCAATTTTCCAAGTATTTATGTACTTCTTCACAATATTTTAATTGGTTGGGAGATGAGCCCCGATCGTGAGACCCCAGGTGGATGGCAGAATGTTGCAGGGAATGTTTACTTGCCGTAACGTTAAGCACGGTCCGTCCTGGCCTCTGACCAGGCAGGTGTCCGTATCCCAAGGGTGGATCCAGCATCCCTTGCAGTTCCATGCTTATGGGACCCGAGGGTCTTTGGGGTGCCAGAAGGGGGGGGGGGGGGCTCCAGGCACATGTCTGCCTCTGACATCCCCTGCTCTTGAGCTCAGCCACTGCTACCAGCTGCAAGCCATCCCAGTGCAAATAACAAGGACTTGAAAGACTCAAACCCACTCTGGCAGGGGTGGGGTGGGGTGGGGCAGGGGCAGGGGTAGGCAAATTGTAAGACAAGCTCTCTATGCCACTGTGCCACTGGGGCAGGCAACTGAACCAATAGATGATGCACAATGACCACTATATGTAACAGGCTCCTTATCATCACCACATCTAAGCAGCAGCACAAATACAAAATCACCAGCATTTAAGGCGACTATGAGCAGTGTGCAGGCTGTGAGTCTTACCAGAATAGTGACAGCATCTCCAGCCTGGGCAGCAAAGCCCAGGCTTTCCTAGAATATATTTCTTTGGCATCACTGATTGCAGCTTTATAACTTTCACCAACAAAGCATGCAATTCTCAGAATTGCAGTGTGCAGTGTGGGAACATAATTTAATTATTTTCCCACACTGATCTCCCAATATGGCAATGCATACCACAACCTCAGACTGGAGTACTACATATACATGGACATGTACTCAGGTTCATTGTGACCAATGGCTATGCTATTAACATTTATGTTACATTGTTCTCAGCCATCAAAACTATAAATTGTGACAAACTGATAAACTTTGGTTGACTGAAATGATCATGGATCATCCATACCCCAAAAGCTTTCTAGCAGTATAGTTTTGCAAATGATGAAAGACGGACCTGCCAACATATCAATAAAACAAATTCACACACATTCCCCAAGGACAGCTGATCCCATTGCCATAGGGTTTGACAGCATCTCCATGATGACTATTGGTAGATCACACATCTGCCATTACCTTACTCTCTCCATCAGGCAAGAAGTGTTTGACTGATACAACAGTCATGGAGCTTAAGCTTTAAATTATTCACACCGCTGCTCAGCAAAACACAGGAACTATGCCAATTCACAATCACACTAACCTTCAAAGGAACTTCCTTCATGTTGTCAGCATCTTCATTCAGAGAATCTTCCAGCATGTTCCTTATCAATAGTACTTGAAAGCCAGTTATCTAAAGATAAAGTGAGAGAGATTTGAAATCCTGCTTGTTACATACCTATCACATGGGACTGAACTGTGCCATGAGAGTCATGTAATCCTCAAAGCGGACCAGTGTTTATATAGCAATATCCTGTAACAAGTAGCCCAGGACTAGCATCACAATGGAAAGCAAAATCAGATAGGCATATTGGTTGTGCAGGCTGCATCTATTCAAAAATGTGATATCCTAGTAAAATCAAAACAAGTAAAATCCAAAATGAAGCTGAAGATGCCTTTACAAGTAACTAAACAGAATGCAGATATCTCTAGCTGCATTAGTTTTGATACATTACCTCCCTCATATAATAGATACTGAATTCTTGGCAATAGTGCTACTACATAAATATCATCTTCAGCTTTTGAGCCTCCAAGCTGAATTTTGATCCTTGAAGCTGAATTTTGTAGTGCTGAGAGAAAGAGAACGAGCTCTCTCTCTCTCTCTCGAAAAGTGCTCTCGCTCTCTCGCCGGTCAGGAAAAGAAACTCGTTAACTAACGCAATCGAGCTTCAAAGTTCTCTATCTCGTCCTCTCTCTAGAGAGAGAAGCAAAGAAAAGAGGGAAAAGGAAGGGGAAGAAAGAAAAGGAGGGAAAAGTCCATCTTCCCCTCACTCGATCAGACTCTCTCTCCGAAACATCGAAGAAAGGGAGATCTCTCCTATCCACAAGCTAAGGGAGAGAAAAAAGAGAAGAGGAGAATGAATCTAGAGGGAGAACCGACTCTCCCTCTCTCGCTCGCCTCTCTCTCCGCACGTATTCTCTCCCCCCCCATCTCTTCCCCTCTCTCTCTCTCCCCTCACTCTCTCTCTCTCCCTCACTCTCTCTCTCCCTCACTCTCTCTCTCCCTCACTCTCTCTCTCCCTCTCTCTCTCTTTTTCCTTCTCTCTCTCTTTAGGCTGAGGGCATTGCATGCTACTGGCAGCAGGGCCCAACATGCCATCACACAAATGTCCACAATGGATGCTTAAGGCAAACAGGAGAGACCTGGTTACAATTTTTTTCTTACAGGGCACAGGGGAAAAGCTGGAGACCACCCAGATCACAGCAGAAGGAGTAACTCTTCAAGATTACCCATGATACCTGCTTTGCCAGCAGAAATGCACCTAAAGTATACATTTCAGATGCATTCTTGGGATGCCATTGACAAAGCATGCTGTGTGAACCAGCACCAAATCTTGTTCCAATTGAACCAGCACCAAACTGAACCCGCATCAAATCAAAGGGATGCCAGTAGTGTAGTGGTTAATGTGTCCGTGTTAACTGCTGCTCGTCTGGGAAACCAGAGGTACAGGGTTCAATTCCCCATAGTGCCTGCCCTTCCTGCCAGGGTGAGAGGCAGGCAATGCCATATAGCCTCAGCAGCTGAGTGCATTGTAAAGCACCAATGACATGCACACAGACACACAGCACCAAATCTTGAAATGCAGGCAAGGACATCACAAATCAGTGCTAACTGCCAGGGATACTACAGCCAGATATCAAATCATGTGTCCCCCTACCCAATATGACAATTTCAAAATGAATGCTGCAGTCAAGGCACCCTTGACCCCCACCAACAAAGAAAGATGTTCAGCTTGACCCATTAGAGCATGAGCTCAGGTAACCTGAAATCACCAGTTGCCTTTTTCCTTCTGAGATCCAGGTGATGGGCTGATATTTTTGTTTAATCCACACCTGTTACAATGAAAAAGGGTCTTTCATTTCATTTGGTTATCACCTAATAATCATGTGTGGCACAAGAACACTGGGTGTATTGGACAACTCCAAGTGACAGTGCAAACAAACAAATGAAGGTCAAGCAAAAAGACAAGCATGGGGAAAAGAGGAAAAGTACCAAGCTGTACATCAATGTAACCAAATGTAACCTCTTTAAACAATCAATTTCTAGCCTCTCAAGCTAAATCTCCAAAAGTACACAGGAAAATATTGCAAGATCACAGAACTACCACATTTTACAAAATATGGAACATGCCCTTTATGCGTCAGCACATAAGTCACGAACGCCATTAAACGCATCTGACTCCCACCCCGACTACTAACAAAATCGTGTGCACTCGTACGTTGCTTATCTACAAATTCTGATTGGTTACCACCACGTACGTCCTTTAGTCCTTCACAGCGTTGATAGTCAAAGTTGCGGCTATTCACAAGATACCACTAATGCAAAAATAACGAGCATCAATGATGTAATTAACACACTCAACTCTTCTATGTCTACCTTTGTTTATTTTTGATTATTTTGAATACATTTTAAAATCAATGAATGACATACAAAACTTTAAATGTGTGCATTTACTCGCAAAATTAGCAGATACCCAAGTGTTTCGTTAGTTTTGCTTTATGTGAATTCACATGCATTTTGTTTTCCTTGTCGCAGAAGCGTTATATTTGTGCTAATAAAATATATTCGGAATCGTGCGTGGTGGGCATCATATGTATGGTAGCCTGATTACTCATTTTGATGCCAAGCGTCCCCCATCAATTTTTAAAATAAAAGCTGCATTTGAGTTTAAACTGGTACTTTGCTGCTCCTTGTACAAGGTGCCACGTGGATGGGCTCAGTGGGTACTCCATGTTGAAGCCTGTTGTTTAGTAAACATTGCCAACTTTTGAAGCGGTGTAGCCAGATGCTAGTCGAGGTAGTGAAACCTGCCCTTGCCCCTAAAGATTCCAGCCCCCTTTTTTTGCTGGTGACTGTTGGCATGGTTCATAATGCAGTGATGAAGGTGCTGGTGGGCAAATAATCCTAGTTAATGCCCAGATAATGACAGAAGAAAAGCACTTACATATTTTTGACATTTGCCCTCATTTACTTGTCACCTTGCTGATCAGAAAGTGATTTGAAGGTGAGGTTATGAAGGCTTCCTGATTCTAAAATCTAGGTGGTGATGTCCATCAAGAATGTCATCTAGAATATGTGTATCCATTATCTGCATTGACAGTGAGGTCACTGAATTCGTGATCAGTATTCTAGAATGATTGAAGCATGACCTGCTGCAAGTCATTTACAGGGATGCTTAGAGATTGAGACAGAATTGTGTAGGTTCAGACCCCATTTCTACTTACCAGGCATCTTTTGAGGCTCAGAGTTTTGAATTCTTCTAAACTGGGTCTGGCTGAATGAAATGACAGGTGACAATCAATTTGAGCTGGGCAGATGCCCATCTAAACCACTGTGAATATGGATATCATTAGTGAGCAAGCTGTAATCAATTTGAGCTGGGCAGATGCCCATCTAAACCACCGTGAATATGGATATCATTAGTGAGCAAGCTGTAATCAATTTGAGCTGGGCAGATGCCCATCTAAACCACTGTGAATATGGATATTGTCAGTAAGCAAGCTGTCTGTTTACAAGAGAAAATATTTCCTTGTTATGCCTGAATAGGCAGTGCTGAAATTATCATTAAAAGGAAACATTACTATTATTTCATCCAAAGAGTCCTGGATTATTAATCTCAGCTTCTATTTATTTCATAAACAGAAGCTGAAAATTTGAGGCCATTGTTAACACCAAACATATTCATTCCTATCTATGCTATATATGCATGTCATACTTGTCATATATGCAATGCTTATGCCCTTCCTATTGGCATGACAACTGAAAGACTCATAATCAAACCCTCTTAGGTCTTGGGGCAAACATTTTTTTTTCTGTGAGAAATCAAAACAAGAATTGTGGCTGAATCCCATTAACATTGTGACATGTAAGTGACCCACATGAGTTTATTGGTTCATGAGCTAGATCAAGCACACTGGTATGGTGACCAGTTTTTGAGGTCACATGTGTGATGGGCTTAGTATGACCTCAGTCACCAGTTATTTGGGCCATCACATCATGACTCTGAATGTGATGCATTTAAGTCATTGCTTTATGGCAACTTTTGCATGTTCTGTCCTCTTCTTCTAGGGTGCATCATGGATTCATCAGTTTACACAACAGAGGTTTACACTGTCTAAGCTGCAATGGCAGCCCGCCAAGCAGACAATGGTGCTGGCTCGGGCGAGGGCTCGGCTGGTCCGCCCGGCACCCAGCGCGACTCTGCGCGAGCAAGCAGAGGCAGTGCCCGCGCCCGGCGGCACCTCGCACGGCACCCGCTCGAGCCCGGCGCCGGCTTCCGGCCGTGGGGTCGCCTTCAGCCCGGCTGGGATGCCGGCTTCTACCCGTACCAGGGCCCCGGCGGCGAGTACGACTTCACGTCTGACGCCATGTGGCCCGGACCCGCCGGCTCCATGTCGTTCCGCGGTGCTCCGCCGCCGTGGCGCATTGGCCGCCCGCAGGGAAGGGGCGCTGGTCCCGGGCTCGAGCACCGTGGCAGGGGCTGGACCGCACTGCCGCCACTCGTCCGGAAATGTGGACCGAAAGAAGTGCTACTCGAGCAGCAGAAGCCCACGGTCGCCAAGAGAAAAAAATCGAAAACGAAATCGAAAAAATCCACCCAGACCGCAAGGTTAACGCCGAGCAAGAGTGACGGCGGCAATAAAATGAGACAGAAATCGCCCAAATCCAAGACCACGCCCGTGAAAGCCTCGGTTAAGAAGACCGCGTCGCCGAAAGCGGGAAAGAAAGCCCCTGTTCCGGTGAAGTCCGCCGAACAGCTGGCGGAGGAAACGCGCCAAAACGAAATGAAGGACAAGGCTAACAAGATCAAGACGCTGCTAAAAAAGGCCAGGCCTGGCTCGGTGCTGACCAAGCAGCGAGACTGGCTGCAAACGCCCGAACAGAAGAGCGCCGAGAGGGCCGCCGGACCGCGCGTGCTGCGGAATTTCCTCGGTGACCTTGAGTTCTCCTCCAAGGACTGGCAGGCGATCGGCTCCGGCGGCCTGGCATCGACTGACACCAGGGATCTGGTACCGGAGGACGACTCGGACCTGGTGGAGATCATCGAGGCGGCGGCGACCGACGTGGCCACCCCTGAGGTCATCTCGATCGGCGAGGATGAGAGTGACGACTCCGGCGAGGAGTCTGACTCGGAGTCGGACAGCGACGGCGCGGCGGACGAGGTGGAATCGGCGGACGAGGTGGAAGCGGCAGACGAGGTGGAGGCCGCAGAGTCGACTCTCGGTGGCGGGCTACCGGACGGACCGCGGGATTTCGGCTGGAACTGGCGCGCCGCCCTTCGCTGAGGATCCGCGCGACACCTCGGTCCTCTCTGAGGAGACTCCGGCTCAGCCGCAGGACGTCATCAGAGTCAAAACTGAGTCCGTGTCCGAGGACGACGTCGCCGCCTGACCCTGTCACCTCCGGCGGTGTGAGTGCCAGCAGGGTCGCACCGGCGCCTCGGGATTTCTCTGGGGCGTTTGCCTTCCCCGAGCATCGCCCTCTCTTCCTGGCGGAATCTCCTGGCGCCTTGGCCAGAAAGCGCCGCCTCTCCGACAATCTTACGTCTCCGGAGACGGCTCGCCCGTCGCCGGCCTTCGTCAAACGCGCGCGCTCCTCCTCCGAGTGTTCGTCGCTCTCGGAGAAGCCGGCCACCGACAGGCCCGTCTACCGGCGCCTGCTGCGCATGGACAAAGAATCTCTGCGGGCGCTCGTAGACGACCCCAAGTCGACGCGCTCGCGACATCTGGTGGCGCAGCTGATGCGCTCGCACCGCAGCCAGCTGGCGCGGCGACTGGAGCAGACACGCTTCGCGGCCGGCGGCGGTGGCGGTTCGCCGACGCGGCCGGGCGAGGAGGAGCTGCCGCTTGAGGTGCTAAGTGAGCTGCGCAGCATGCTGGCGACGGACGCGGCCGTGGCGGCGGCGGCCGACGGTCCCCGGTGTGTGCCCAGCCCGCTGCCCGCCGGCCTTCTGTCGGTGACGCGTTTCGGCGGACCCGCCGCCCCGCCGGCGCCCCGGCCGGCGTCTGTCACTGCCCCTTCCCCACCCACCGTCCCGCCGCGTGTCTCCATCCCTCTCCGTGCATCCGTCCCTCCCCGGACTTCCTCTGCGGCGTCCGCTGCTGATCGGGGCGCCATCAGCCCCGCCCTGGACCCGTTGCGCGCCCGCGACCCGTCCCCGGGCGCCGTCCTGCGCTCCTGGCTCGTCTCCGACGCCAGCAGTGTCCCTGCGCCGAACGCGGTCACCACCCGCGGCGCTGCCTCTGCACCGACGCCGGATTCCGCCTCTACGTCCGCTCCGACGTCCAGTTCGGCTTCCGCGTGCCTGCCGCCGGCTGTCGCCGTCTCGCGGTCGGGAGGGGCCGAGGGGTGTTCCGTGACGGACAGCTCGGCGGCGACTCCCACCGCCACCAGCGCCGTCAACAGTGGAGGTAAAAGGTTCTGCCGGACGCGTGGTTAGAGTTTCCTTCCATGCACTGGCCGCGTGGAGTTGCGTCGTAAGCAGGATGTTCCGTTCACTCCAGTTATAGCTACTTGCTTTAACCTGGTCGTTACATGATGTATTCCAGCAATGTTTGTGTTTGGTTTGAAGCATTGTATGCCATACCATAGGTGAAATCCATTTTGAGCAGTGCTCGACGGTTATTTCAATTAGTTTATGCGCTTCCGAGGAACCTGATGGAAACGCAGTTGTAAGTGTGGACTGGTACGAAAGGGATATAGGAGGGAAGTTAGTTTGTAGTGTAAGGGTAGGTGCGTGTGCAGAACAAGAGACGAAAATCAGGCAAAGAGGTTCGGACACCTCCCGTCATCCCCCCCCCCCCCCCCACCAGGGCTTACCCAGCGCCTGCCAGCCGTCACGCTTCCACCCAGCGTCGTTGGCGGAGCCGTCTCTGACGGGCGCTGCCTCACAGCGGCGCCGCGGCAGGATTGCAACCGGTTCTTCTCGCTCTCGGGCAGCGCGGGCCGGGCCGGCTCCGGGGTCAGCTCGGCCCGTGATCTCCCTCGCTCACCACCGCCCGTGGTGGTCAGCAGGTCATCAGGTGAGCGACGACAACGAAGCTGTGGCAACGGTGCTGGAGTTGGCGCCCTATGGAACAAATACTGAATCACCTACTGTGTGACGGGAGCTACTCCGGCGTACCTGGGCTGGGAAAGCGGCTCGAGTGCTTGACTCGGGTGCCCTTGGTCGTAAGACAGAACCCGAGGTCAACTGTGTTTGTTCTTGCATGCTCTTGGTTACATTGTCGACACTGCTGCGTTGCTTTCTTCCCTAGCACCCTAACCACATGATGCCGCCTCGCCGGCGCAAAGCGCCTGCATTTCACGCCTTGCACCTCTGACGCCAGCTGCCCGCCTGCTGTGTGCTCCAGGCCCGTCGCGACAGAGGGTGCCGCTGACGGCCGGCGAGATCTTCTCCGGCTCTGGTGCGCCGCGGCGCGGTCCGCTCCCGAACGTGGCGGCGCCGCGCGGCAACTGCGGCGGCCGCCGGCACTGGGAATGCCGCTCGTGCTTCGCCCAGAGCTGGGTCAACACGTGCCGCATCTTCCGCCGCCACGTGACCGACATCGAGAAGGTGAGCTGGCGCACACGTGGACCTCAAGTGCTGCTGCTGAGGTCTGCTGATAGATGGACGTTTTTGTGCTGCTGAGATAATAATTATCGAATTATTATAAATCGATTCGATCCTTGTGGTCTCTTTACTTCTTGCCGGATCAGCGTTATTTTGTGAGTTTATTGCGGTCTCGAGCGTGCCGACGAGTGTTCCTTGGACGCTCAGTACCTGCACTGCCGTGGCAGCCGCCGCGTGATCTTCCGGCGGTGGACGCAGCGCTCGCAGCGTGCGAGCGCCGCCAGACCGCTCGGTGCCGCTCAGGCCGCGCCGGGCGGCAGCCGGCCGCCGCTCCATGCCACCGCCAGACGCGCGTCCCCGCCTGCCGCAGGACGTGGACACGCTGTCGGCCACGCTGTCCGGCCGGGAGCCCAGCTGGCAGAACCTGCTGCGGCTCTCGATGGTCGAGAGCCAGATCCTCGGCCAGGTGGACGAGATGGAGGAGCAGGTGCAGAAGCTGCAGGCTGAGGTGGGTGAGGTGACGCAGCCTGCCCTGGTAGACGGACTTCATTGCAAGCTATGTGTTTTGTTGGCCGGGGAGCACATTTTTTTAGTTCACTTTAGTTATCTTGGTTATGTTTTCAAGTTTCATGAGGGATCGGCTGCCGAAGGCGGGGGCGGAGACGAGGGCGGGGTGTAGAGTGTCGGATGATACTCAGGTTAAGTAGCCATAACTGTTTCGGTCGACTACTGCTGTGGAGCTTTAGCAGACATTAGACAATACAGGACTTCATAGGGCTGTATCTGCTGGTGTCGCAGGAGTTTGTGGTGCGTTGGTTATGACTTGCCGTAATTGGTGGATGCAAGTTTTCGGTCAATTTTTTTCTTTTTGTTTTAGTTTTTGATCAGTTGGTTATGCATCACCAGTGCTGAATTATCTTGTCTTCGTGCGTACAGCAGCTCCCTTTTCCCAAATCGGTAGCCAGGGCCATTTGGCGTTACCTTATAAATGTCCCAGATAAGGACACGTCGTCCATTCCCCGGAGCTGAGCGGCAGCCTGCCACCTGTGTGTCGTGGTACACGGCCCTCGCAACGTAGGACTCTGCCAGCAGCCGGCCCAGATCGTGATGACTGGGAACCTGGCAGCTGCAAAACTCATCAGTCCGCCACAGATTCTCGGAAGCCTGTGCTGGATAGAACCGATTGCGTTGCATGGATTCCTGGAACTTGGATGGCTGTAGCAAATGCGCAGCCGGGCGCCCGCCACGCACAGCTGTATTGTGACCCGCAGCTGGCAGCGCGGCCAGGTGTCCGTTCTGCTTAGTAGTCCACTCCAATATTGTCTCGCTTTCGACATTTGACCGGGTCTAAATCGTCCAATGCAGTCGGCATGCCCTTGGGCAATAGCGGCTTCCAAACTACAGCGGCCATCCAGCCAGAAAAGTCCTAGTAGACATCGAACCATAGCGCTCTTCTGAGCACTGCCACCCTGAGAGGCTGTGCCAAGCACTACACGAGAGCGCACGTCCCACCATTTCTCAATCGTCTTTGTCTTTGTCGTCAGATGCGGCGCATGCGGCAGATCAGCCGGCATCTGCGCGAGGTGCGGCTGAAGAGCATGAGCTTCGGTAGGGATGTGCGCACGGACGACTACCGACTGCCGCCGGAGCTGCAGCAGCTGCTGCGGCGGGTGGGCGGCGGCCAGACCGGCGACGCCGCTGCCAGCAGCGCAGGCGGCGGCCCGACCGAGCGCGGCGCCGACGGCTCGCCCGGTGACGAGGACAGCGGGCCCGCGGCGGCGGCGGCGGCGGCATCGCCGGCGGAGGCGGAGGCGGAGGCGGAGGGTGAAGGATCATCAAGGCCGGCGCAGGAAGCGTCATGGCCGATGGACGAGTCATCAGAGTCGGCGGCGGGTGGAGCGGGTCGTGCCGACGCGCCGGCCGGGTCTGCGGGCCCCGAGCGGCGCAGGTCAATCGCCGCCGACGAGCTCGGCACCGGCCGCTGCGCCGGTGGTGGGCGGCGCCGGCGAGATTGCTGACGCGGCTGCCCCGCCGCCGACGGCCCGCGTGAAGCAAGAGAAGCCGGACGACAGCGCTGCGGCGGCCGCGAGCCTGCCGCGCCCGCCAGCCACCGTGAAGCCGGAACCGGCCGAGGCGGACGGCGCCGACGTCTCAGACGACGAGGTCAGCCTGGCGCGCGCTATGGTGCGCGTGCGCAACGAGTGTGAGCTGAACCAGATGGCGGCGGCGCTGCAACCCGAGCCAGAGCCGCGGCCGTGCGGGCCGGAGTCGGAGCCAGAGCCGGACATCGGGCCGGACCGGCCGCCGGAGCCGGACGGCCCGCCGGCGCCGGCCATGGCCTACCTCGGTCACATCGACAGCGACAGCGACGTGTACAGCTCGCTTCTGGCGCTGGCGCGGCAGAGCGGCAACCAGCTGGTGCTGCAGATGGCGCCGGGGACGGAGGGCCCGGCGGTCGGCGGGAGCGAGGTGGAGGCGGACGCGGAGGAGGAACCGCGGCTGAGTGTGGCCGACATGGCCGCCGTCAAGATGGAGGCTGAGGACGGCGACGAGGCGGGACCAGCCGGGGACGGGGGAAATGCGGGGGGATACGATGGGAGCACAGCTGGAGACGTGTGGAGAACGAGTGGGGACGCGCGCAGGCAGAGTGGTGATCAGAGGAGAACGTCTGGTGACAAAGAAAGACCGGGTGCAGACGGAGGCACAGCACGTGGTGACGAACGGAGGGCGGTGGAGACGGGGATGCGGACGGAGGGTGCTGCGCGCCGGAAGGGGGCGGCCAGGTCACGGACGGAGTCGGAGCAGGCCGAGTCGGGCCTGAGCGATGACGCCGCGCCGGCCTGCCGACGCCTGCTCGATGATCTCGGTGTGCCCATCGTCTCCGTCAAGGTATGTTGATGGCAGCGTTCTGTACGTCACAAGGCCACTGGCAAAGTTTCCGTGCCCGCTTGTCTAGCCCGTTCATATGTGCGTCGTTAACCTCGGCACTCGCATGATTTGTTGCTCAACAGGAAGTGGTCGCTTTCGCTATGTTGGTCGCAATTTTGACATTGATGGTAGCTGTCTGTTCTGCGCCAATTCAGTCGTTAGTCGTTCGTCAGTTGTTTTAGCTAGTTGATGCGCATTGGCCTCTCAGTAAGCAACTCTGATCGAATCTATCCGCGTCATGGCGTAACGTGCATCACGCTCTGTAGAGTTGGATGTATTACACAGTAGTGTGGTGCCGCCCCCGTCAGTGCTGAGAGGCTCACGGTCTGCGGTCTCCAGCTGACGCGGAGGAGCGACTCTCGCGGGCGCAGACGCCCTATTCTAACGCAGGGTGTCGAAGACGCATTCTGTGATATCACGCGGACAGTGGGGACCAAGCCAAGCATGGCGTTGCCTTTCGCAGTGCCAGTGAGGTTTCACTGTCGCTGTCCGTGATCGCCTGCGCGCCGACACTGTCCGCGGACGTTACTGCCCCGACACCCCGGCCGCCCGACAGACATGGCGGGCCTGTAATGGACTGTGACGGACTGTGGCCGACTGTGAACGCCTGGGACCGACTGTGACCGACTGTGGCCGACTGTGACGGACTGTGACGGACTGTGGCCGACTGTGACCGCCTGGGACCGACTGTGACCGCCTGGGACCGACTGTGACCGACTGTGGCCGACTGTGACCGCCTGGGACCGACTGTGACCGACTGTGGCCGCCTGGGACCGACTGTGACCGCCTGGGACCGACTGTGACCGACTGTGACCGACTGTGACCGACTGTGACCGACTGTGACCGACTGTGGCCGACTGTGACCGACTGTGACCGACTGTGGCCGCCTGGGACCGACTGTGACCGGCCGCCCGCCCCGCTTCAGCTGCACGGGTCGTCTGCTTTCGTGCTGACGGCCGAGATGGTGCTGCACCGGTACGGCCTGCCCGCCGACGTCACCACGGACGTGCAGGCCCAGGCCACGCTCCGCCTCCCTCTGGTGAGCATGTCTGCTGACCATGGCCATCTCACATGTCCGGATCCAGGTGGGACGTCGGTGTTTGCGGCGCGTTCCTCCGCGCGCGTCGGACGTGAACCGTGTTGTGTGCGGTTAGCGCCTACTACGCCTGGGACCCGTCACGGCTCTGGTCGACGCTCGGGCTGGCCAAGCTTCCACGTGCCGCTCTTGCCGTTGGTAGTCCCCCAGACCCACAAGTTTGATGGCTTGTGCAGTGGAAACGCGATCGTGGTTTCCAACATTGCCTTTTCAGCCGTAGACAGTGCATTGCAATCGACCGTTAATTCGCGGTTAGGCCAATAGTTCAGCCTGACGTCGGTCTGGGACGTGTCGGAACTCTGGTGTCTGGCGGTGGCCTACTGCTGTCTGAGCGGTGTGTTCTGGCTGGCCCGCCCGGTGTCCGGCCCCTGACCCCTAGCGTCTGGCGGGGCCCTGCTGGCTGCCTGACCGGTGTGTTCTGCCGGCCGGCCTGGTGTCCGGCCCGTGGCCGCTGTCGTCTGGCGGGGCCCTGCTGGCTGCCTGACCGGTGTGTTCTGCCGGCTGGCCTGGTGTCCGGCCCCTGACCCCTGGCGTCTGGCGGGGCCCTGCTGGCTGCCTGACCGGTGTGTCCGGCCGGCCCGCTCGGTGTGCGGCCCCTGACCTCCAGCGTGCGGCGGTGCCCTGCTGGCTGTCTGACCGGTGTGTTCTACCGGCCCGCCTCGTGTCCGGCCCCTGACCCCTGGCGTCTGGCGGTGCCCTGCTGGCTGCCTGACCGGTGTGTTCTGCCGGCCGGCCCGGTGTCCCGCCCGTGGCCGCTGTCGTCTGGCGATGCCCTGCTGGCCGCCTGACCGGTGTGTCCGGCCGGCCCGCTCGGTGTCCGGCCCGTGGCCGCTGTCGTCTGGCGGTGCCCCACTGGCTGCCTGACCGGTGTGTCCGGCCGGCCCGCTCGGTGTCCGGCCCCTGACCCCTGTCGTGCCGCGGGCTGACCGCTGACATCTCTCCGCCCGGTCCGCTGCAGGCCGCGCCGTCGGCGGCCCGGCCCCGGCCACGGCCCACCTGTATGCTGGTGAAGCAGGTCGGCAGCCACGCGCACGTGCTGGTGGGCGACGACCAGGGCGGCCTGAGCCTCGTCCGAGACGCGCCGGTCAGTGGGCGGCGGCGCGGCCCACGCCGGCGACGCGGCGCCGGCCGACCGCCTGCGGTGCTGCGTCCGTCAGCGGTTGATGTCATGTCAGCACACTAGCTGAGGGGAACGCGTTCTGAGTGGCGGTCATGCTTGTGGGAATGAAGTTTTCATGCTGTGTTGGTGTGTTTCGCCTGGCGACACTTGCACGAACGTCAGTGACAAAGGCTTCCACACGGTGTTGATCATCGACAACTACTGGTGGATCAGTGGGGATCGCGGTCCTCACCGCCATTGTTGGTGGGGTACGTTACCAGCTCAGTAGCCTCGAGCGGTTCACACGTTGGAGGCGGGCGGTAGTTACTAGCGCTATATCAGCTAATAGGAGTTGGCTGCGCTGTAATGACATGCTCCCTCCGCGTCAGACCTCGGCGCGGTGCAAGATCCGGACGCTGCAGGTCGGGGAGAGAATCAGCTCCCTGGCCAGCAAGGGGGAGCGGCTGTACATCGGCGGAGAAGCCTTCTTCGCCATCGTCAGCTTCAAGGTGAACAGGGTTACGCCATACTAAGTGCGATGTGTGTAATGGACTAAATCACTGCAAGGAACTATTTTTCATGTTTGGCTCTAGCACCTTCCCCTCTCGGTGTCCACAGCGCGTGTCCCTAAGATGCTACCGGGGTTGGAGCCTGCCACCCTGGTGCCCTTCCCGCTTCACGCTTCTCGCTTCCCGCTCCTGCTCCTGCCTTTTATGCGCTAAAGTGTAAGAACGTTGTTTTCAGTGTTGCATCAAAGGCAGACATGAAACGGCATGTCAAAACAGCTCCGAGCGCATGACATACGGGCGGGCGACATGCTCTTACCATAAAGTTGCATCACTTTGTTAGCCGAAGGAGTCTCCTACCGCCCATATGGGATACACCAACGCATGGTGTGTCGATCGAAAAGGGTGGTACAGCAATCTTATATAAAGAGCGTCATCTAATGGCCCCAGACCTCATCCGCAGGGGAGCTAACACAGCACTCTGACGGACATTTGGAGCTCAGAGTTCAGGGCTTTCCCGGAGGATGGAAGCGAGAGTGCTGCCAGCGCTGGACCGTACCTCCCACCGCCGCCCTGACCCGTAAACCATGACCCGTGATCATGTGACGGGTCATGCATGTGACCCGTAACCCGTGATCTGTGACCCGCGACCCGCGACCAGTGAACCATGACCCGTGAACAATGAACCATGAACCATGAACTGTGACCCGTGACCCGTGACCCGTGACTCCGCCAGCACCTGATCGCGCTCGACGCACCGCCGGAGACGCCGCTGCAGCTGTGGCCGCCAGGGCGCGTGCTGCTTCACTGGCGCGCCACCGTCGGCGACGTGGTCAGCCTGAGCCCGTTCCACCAGCTGAGCGGCGACCAGGTGGCGCTGTGCCTGCCTGGCCTGCCGCTCGAAATCAGGGACGGCCTGGACGGTGGGTGGTGAGGACGCGGTGCGATGTGGGGGTGTCCAACCGCGTGTCAGATCAGGAATTGACGATGCGTCGCTGGATCTGGAAGGGGGCATCGCGAGCGGAGAGCGTACGCTGGAAGGGCCAGCTGGCGCCTCATGCACCTCGGGCCGGCCGGATCTCCCCGCCAGGGAGACTGTGGCGCTTGGCCACGGTCCACGCTGAAGGCAGGGGGAGGGGAGGGGGAGGAGGGCGGGAGGCGCATTGGTGCGTCTCTGTGATGCTCTGACTACCCCGTGTTGCAAATGACGCCACTGCCAGGCGTGCCAAACCTAGGCCCCTATCTGACGTCAACCCATGCTGCTCCGGTCATGCTGCATGACAGAAGGCAAGCGTGGGACACAAGATTGGTCAGACATCTCCCGCTCCCCCATATTTGACCTGTCGCCGTCGCACGCTGCCTCTCGTGACTGGTCATGGCTTCGTAGCCTGCGACCGCACATGACGGGCAAGCGTGGCTCCGTCCTCGGCCACTGTGCGCGCCGGGCCTGTGTACGCGCCCGATCTGCCGCCGTTACGGCCGCGTCTGACCGGCGGGGGTGTCCCGCAGGCGAGCTGCTCGAGTCGTCAGGACCGTGCGCCGCCGAGCGGCCCTGCCTGCTGGTCACTCGCTGGGGCCACGCCATCTACGCCGTCCGCACGGCGGCCAACTCGGCCGCCAACGCCGCCACCACCTCGCTCTGCGCCGTCGATCTGGAGGTGAGTGACGGTCGGTGGTAGGGAAAACTGACCGCCTGATGGGTGCTTACATCCAGAAAAATAGAACATCCACGCTTCATACGTAAACTTAACACCTGTCTCAACATGGCCTGACACGTGATACTGATGTGAGTGACACTGATCTGATACTTGCCGTGTGAGGTCAGATGGAAGCTGTGACCTCGATATAAAATTTGAAAATCATCAGTCTTTTTTCTTGCACAGAAACTCCGCAAAATATTTACCGGCCTATGCAGGACCCGAAGCGAAGTGTGCAGCGCTGGTGGCGGTCGGGTGGGGCCGAGTCAGGGCCAGGCTGACGTTGGGAGGGTGGGATTCCCTGGCTGGCGGCCCGTGTGGAGATGGTCAGGATGGGGTGCGTTTATCAAGGTCGCCCGTCTGGCTGATTGATACTGGGATGGTCGTGGTTGATTATCCCCAGCTGCTGATGGTAAAGCGGTTAGGTGGCTGGTGGTGTTCTGGTGGAATGGTGGAATGATGGAATGGTGGACGGTCAGAGTGCGGTCATGCGGAAGGAGGGATTTGTGGTGGGAGGGCGTGAAATAGCGCGTGGTTGGGTGTAACCTATTGTGAGGAGGCACCTGGTGGTAATGTGTCATGTTAATCGCGATTCGTGTCACCTGACACCATTATAAGCTATCAATCTAATGTGTCGTAGGTAAGTGCAAGGGCTCGTTACTGTCTGCACTTTTACCTCGCTTCACCATGCTTTATGGCGCGTGCTGGGAGAGAGAGTGTTTCATTTTCTGTGCTCACGCTCCGACCTTGACCACACCGCTTCAAAGCAAGCTGCCCTTCGCGGCCCGGAGTGTCCGTTTGGCGTCGGTGGACAGCGTCCGTGTGTCCGAGTGTCCGTGGACAGCGCTGCCCCGTCCTCACACGCCCCGGCGTTTGTCGCCACCTCGACAGGGTCTGTCGTGTGCCGGCGGCTGCTGGCGTCTCCGGCAGCCGGTGACGGCGGCCGACGCCGGCGGCAGTCACCTGTTCCTGGGCCTCCAGGACGGCGGGCTGCGGCTCATGCAGGCCCTGGGTCAGGTCGGTCGGCGCCGGCGGCGCTCCCTGACGTCAGCGCTGGTGCTGGAGCCTCGGCGGGGGCTGGGCCGACCTGGGGACCTCATGCTGCACCCTGAGGAGCCCGTCAATAGGCGCCGGGCCACGCCGGCCCGGCCGTGTGCATCAATGAGTGTTGGTCGGTCATTACTGCTAAAGTTCAGAGGCATCCACTTGATGGGTCTTCCGTCTCCGGCCAATTACAGTGAAATAGTTGATGCGAGGTGTGACGCTCATTCAACGCAAGTGAACAGTGAAGGCGCCTCACTGTAATGCCTGCACCTGTGCTATCAGCGCCGACCCACCTTGTCGCCTAATGGCACGTTCGCCTCATCCGACCCGCTCACCTCACCCGGTCTAATGTTGCGCCTTCTCGCCTCCGACCCCGCGCCGCATCCCACCGCGGTCTGCCGCTGTAGCCCTTCCTCGTCCAGCCCCGTCCCTGCTCCGCGCTGACGGCGCAGGCCGTGTTCCAGGGCGGGACCGGGTCGTCACCGTTCGGCCTGCGTTCGGTGCAGCAGCTGCGCAGCGCCGGCGCCGCCCCGCTGCGGGCGCTCAGCGTGCGCAACGGCAAGGTTAGCGTCGGCGCCTGCGGCCCGAGAGCTGGGCCACGCGGCCTGTAACCTCGGCCGGCCGGCGCCGCCCGCGCAGAGACCGCCGCCTGTGCCAGGACCGCCGCCCGCGCCGAGACCGCCGCCCGCGCCGTGTCGCACACGGGGGGTTGACACACGCGAGCCGCGCTCCCGTGGCGCTAACGGGCGGAGCTGACCCCACGGAGATAGGTCACAGGAGCAGCTGCGCCTGCAGAGGCCCCACCCCGTGACATGTCCGCGCCCAGTTGCCACACTCACAGAGGCTGCACCCGCAAGGCTTGCATTTTGGCCGCACCCTTTAATATGGAATATGGTATATAGCCGTGCATCCCGCACTGGGTGCACGGCTATATACTACGCTAGGCTGTGAGAATCGCAGTCGACATTGAAAATGCGAATACGAACCTAGATTTTGCGGAAGGGCCCGCGTGTTGTGAGATTCCGAGACTGCGTGCCGTTAAGGCCCTTGGTGTCAGGGCATCTATCTGTACCCTTCATCGGCCACGGGATCCATCGTCCGGCAGTCAGTGACAGCGACGCACGAACCAGAAGGGATCGTCGAGGGTAACTAGTTGGCATTTGCACTCAGGGGCGCCACTTTGTATACTGTACTAGAGGCGGCGCCCTCTCCGCGCCGCGTCCTCATCTCAGCGAGACCTGGATCTACACCGCTCGACTTTCACAGCATCCGTCGCCGCCCACACGTCCCCCTCCCCACCCCCTTCCGCTCCCGCGGCACACTGGCCACAGGCGGTCTCTGCGGGGCCGAGCCGGCCGGCGCTCGAGGGGCTGGGTCATGGTACCGACTGGTTCATTCTCTGCATGCCGTGTCCGTCCCGTGCTGTGTTGGCTGTGCTTCTCTGCCTTGGTCGGCAGTTCTCCGCTGTTTGGTCGTGCGCCTACCGAGCATGCCGCCTTCAGATGAATGGTCATTTTGCTTAGTTGTTTGCATTCAAGTTTCAGCTGCAGCATTCTGCGATGTTGAAACTTGCTATAGAAACAAGTTCTCTGCGAGATTATTGAGCGCTTCGATAGTCGGCGTGTCGGTTGATGTAGTTCAACTGAACACTGCTGCAGTTAATTAGTCCGCTGAATGGGCTTCTGGTGATTATGTTAACATGCTCCGGTTCAAGTAGACTGAGCTGTTCAATGTGCAGATGCCTCACGAGTGCTTCACGCCTGTTGCGCCTCCCTTTCTACTCCCTGTACTGTCCACGGCTGTCGTAGTCTGCTCCGCGTGTAGCTAATGCACAGCTGTTGTAGCCTGTACAGCATAGTCCGAGCGTAGCGCACGGCCCGATACCGCGTCGTGCGGCGCGCGCCGCTCGCGCCAGGATCCGTCCCTGCCCGGGCCCGGCGTACGGGGGAGCGCGTCCGCAGTGAGGCCCGTCACCACATCACGTGGGGCTGGGAGCAGTACTCCCCACAGCCAGGCCAGAGCTGTCACCAGACGCTCTGTTGTGAGCGAGTGCTGTGCAGTGGTGCGCCGGTGTCAGCGTCCCTGATGAGCTCACGCTCACGGACGTCGTCCCCATGGTGTGGCGCAGCAGGGCTGGGCTCTGTTTTGGTCCGCCCGACGGCTCACCGGTGATGATCGAATAACGCAGTACGCACCGGTGCCGTGATGTGCCGAGGCATTGCACCACTTCTTGGACAGATTGCCAAGATCGGACAGGTGAGGGCCGCCTGTCGGCGCCGGTGCTGACGTCGGCGCGGCGCGCTGCTCCCCAGGTGGTGACGGGCTCGGCGGCCGGCCTGGTCGAGCTGTTCGTCGTGCCGGGCACCTGAGCGGCTCCCGTCCGCACCAGCCGGACCGACACGGCAGGAGGGCCTCCCGACCTCCGGAGTCACGGCGTGGCCGCAAGCGGAGGGAGAGTGGGCGACGCGGGAGTAGTGGGCGGGGTGATGGCGGCCCGAGGACCGCAGCGAAGCGCGGGTTGTATGGGGATCGGTGCGCTGCCTTTGAGCAGCGCCCTTCGCTGCTGGGGGGGGGGGGGGGGGGGGTGGTGGAGCTGGCGAAAAGCGCTCTGGGGTAGTAATACGATGTGCCATATTTTGCGTTTGCCGAATGCGTGGTAAGACGCTGGTTCGGAGCCGCGGGAATGGGATTGGTTTCATTGTCGTGCTTGAACCGCCGTGTAACTGATGACGTTGTGTTTCGACAATTCGCTCATTTCGGGTTGATGTGTGTCATCCCGGCGGCTGTGTGACGTCTAATGTACCGGCCCTCACGGCCACTGCGAGATTTCCTCAGTTTATGCCGGGGTCGAGCGTTTTGTAACTGTGTCACTGTTCATGAGGTCCGACGGAGGTAAGAGGTAGCGGGGTGTGGGTCGCAGCCCAGACTTACCGGGGACCAGTGTTGCGAGACGCGCAACGGGCCGGCATCAGCGGGCTGGCGCTGCTTCCATGGAGGCGTGGTCACTGAGGTATAATGACAGTGCACGCAAGCGGTCCGCGCTCGGTGGAGATTGCAGAGATGCTGTGAACCATTCGAGCTTTCCGGCCGGCGGGCCGGTGTCGAGTCGCCCCGCGCCAGCTGTCGCCGGTGGCGCCTCAGGGACACGCGCCGGCCGTGTGCTTCTAGGCGGTCTGTGTTAACGCGCGGGCTGTGGGCGCCGTTAGTGTGGTCAGGCACGGCGACGGTCCTCCAGACCGGACCGCTGGTCTCCCGGAGACCAGCGGTCCGGCGTGTGGTGCCCGGCTGTGCTCTGCTCACCGCCTGATCAGAGTTGAAATACACACGGTCAACGGCGGGTGTGGAACACGATGGCTGGTGCCGGGGTGTAGGGCACGTTTCCGCAGTGACTGACTGCCACCAAGTGCGAGCCGCCCGCGAGGCCCCTGCGATACAACCCAAGCTGAGCAGCGAACGCGTGTGGTGGAACCGAACGGCGTATGCAATGCCACTCGCCCATCTGGTTTTGCCACGCTGATTAAAGTAGCATTAGTATGTTCCCGTCTGGACGTCGTGAAGGCTGCACATCTGATGCATCATCGTGCTGGACACACTCCTGTGTCGCCACGTTCAGCAATAAAACAAGACGAAAATGGACACGTTTATATAAGTTTGAGAACATTTGTCATTTAGATGAGCCTCGCGGAATACATGACGGATGATGTGGTCATTTTGCAGGGCAGATATGATTTGTTTTGGAATGCGATGTTTGTAGTAACTACATGCTTACCTGTTCTGCACCTGAACCTTCGCGACAACCTAGCAGGCACGTATACGCCTGTCAATATTACCCGAAGGGCTTGGCTCAACTAAAGTTAAACAGGTATTTCTTTACGTCCACAAACTAGCGGCATGTAATAGTGCCTATGCAAAGTGGCATTACCACTTGGGAATCAATAATACAGTGGCAGTAATGCTTTTGGGACCCCTCTGCTACGGTGCACTGGTTATTTTAGCGTCGCCAGATGCTTTTGATAGCCGTGAGTTGCTATACAAGTTAAATCATATGCGATGTAAGGTGTTCATGTTTACACGCACAAAAGCACAAGTCGGCGCGAGTAAATCACTCGCCGTAATTTCCCATGAGTTTGATCACCATTGGACTCCGTGAGTGCGCCGACCAATGGCCTGACATGATGGCTGACGCCACATCCCACCGAGGACGAGCGCACGCGTCTGTCACTTCCGCCCCGCACGGCACCTCCACGCCGGCGGGGGCGGCCGCGCTCCAATCACTCACGCATCAACGCTATGGCGATGCCCGACCCCGGACCTCCGACGAGCCGACCGGCGAGTGGTGGGGCCGCCGCCGCCGGAGCCCGCTGCAGCCGGCGGCCCAGTCACAACCTGCCCATGGGCAGGAAGAAGGAGATGTCGTCGCCGGCGCGGCCCCAGCTGACCCGATGCGTCTGGTACATGATCTGCCAGATGATGAGCCCCGCCAGCCAGACGGCCGAGCCCACGCCAGAGTAGATGACGTCTGCGGTATCGACGGCGCCGGAGTCAGCGGACAGTGCGGGGTCAGCGGGCGGCGCGGGGTCAGCGGGCGGCGCCAGTCAGCGAGCGGCACGGGGTCAGGGGGCGGCACGGGGTCAGCGGGTGGCGCAGGGTCAGCTGGCGGCGCCGAAGTCAGCGGGTGGCGCGTGGTCAGCGGGCGGCGAGAGGTCACCGGGCGGCGCCGGAGTCAGCGGACAGTGCGGGGTCAGCGGGCGGCGCGGGGTCAACGGGCGGCGCCAGAGTCAGCGAGCGGCACGGGGTCAGGGGGCGGCACGGGGCCAGCGGGTGGCGCCGGAGTCAACGGGTGGCACGGGGTCAGCGAGCGGCGCAGGGTCGGTGGGCGACACTAGGTCAGTGGGCGGGGCGAGGTCACGGCACAGGTCCCAATCTCCCGCCAGCGCCGCACACGCTGCGGCGTGTTCAAACTGGCTTTATGTGACAATGAGGTGAGCTCCAATAATGTCAAATAAATATACTGCACTAGATCAAGGAATGGTAAGCTGCCACCCATACACATGCTGATGTTGACAAGCTTTCTGCACAGATGTCCTCGAAAGAGATGTGGTTGTTTAAAATGAAAATAGGGTCAATGGCACATGAGTGCAGCAAATACAATGGTGGCTTATTATGTGAAGTGTGATTCCATTGCAGTGAAAATGCACAAGTTAAACTGAATGATGCTTCCACAATAAGCAGGTATCACAACCACTTACATCTCTTGATCTGATACTGCTCAGGAAACCTTGGTCTTCTGAATGCCCAAACATAAAACCATATTGCATTCACCATCCACAAAAATGGAAGGAAGAAGAAACCACCTGCAAAAAATGGTCATCCTGTAAAATTCTGCATTGGACATGGAGTCATGTTCAACATGTTATCATGTAGCATAAGAATAAGCTTGTCATTATTTGATGGTCTGTCACTAACATACGTACATAAAATCAGTTAATTGCACACTGAATGCTTAAACACATGTTGATTTTACCTAAAACAATGCAGCCAGCCATCCATCACATAGCATATCTGGATAAATTATGCAGCTGTCTGCAGTGGGTATGTCACAACAGTTGGGGTACCTTTGCACAGGTACACAGGGTAGTAGGACATGAGTTCATGTTGGTTACATGCATGCTCAGCATTGTAAAAATGCAGTCTTTTGGAATTGTTGCAAATTGTTCAGTGATATTAAGACAGTGATATTCAGACAGTCAGATCAGTGATATTCAGTGATATTAAGGCAATTATTTTATTCATCTTCTGTTTATCTTGAGTTGGCATAGAAACAGCCAGTTTTCAGCAATTAAAGAAAATGACTGCTGACTTTTACAACTCTAACATATTTAGAAAATAAAAGGTCTGAACAACATCTAGAGAGAAAAGGGATGAAACACTTGATTTAGCAGATGGTACCTGTTGCAACTTTGATATATCACTGTCAAGTGTTACTTGAATCCTACAAATTTTGCTACATACAACAGCAGGAGCACAAAGCCACATTCTGAAATACTGTCACACTCTTGAGCTTTTGTTGTTATGACATATGTCACACAGGTTCCACTCCCAAATCTTCACATAGAGAAAGCCTGCAACAGCATGATGGACCAGAACCACCACAGTGAAAGCCTGAAAGTGCTATGGCGCTAGTGTCGCGGCTGTTGTATTTGTGGCAGTCAGATGTTTAGTATTGTAATTAGTTAAGTTCCAAGGTAAGAGTATAGATGACCTGTTTTAAGATTAATTATGAAATGTTCTGCCTTAAAAACAATTGATGTACAATGCTCTTTTGCAACATGAGGTAGGAAAGTACACCCTGACCAAAACTCACTTTCCAAACTCACTTTCCTAGGGCTTTGCACTTTTCCCTCATTTATACAAAAGGAGCTGACTGAATGAGTCATATGCCAGTGCCAATTGTGCCTGTGTTGCATAGAAAATGCCAACAGATGGACAAAAAGGGAGGTAGTGGACGAATAAGCGTCGTGACTGAATTGGTGATCACTAAATTAACACTTACCGTAAAAATACTTCTTGCAGATTCCCAGTTTCTCGGCGTTCGATACTTTGGCAAGATTCATTTCCCAAGCAAGACGAGCGGTGATTTCAGACGAAATTCCAGTGAAGTGTAATCACTACCGTGGCTCTTTCCACCCGAACTTAATGCGCTTATCAATATGTATTAAACACCCAGAACCACCCACGTTACTGCCCTGATTGCGCTCACGCCCTCCTCACGCTCTCCCTAGGGCCTTGCGCCTTTCCCCCATTTACACAAAGGAGCTGGATGAATTCGCTGTATGCCAGCGCCAATTATGCCTGCATTGCGTGGAAAATGTAAAGAAGTGTAAGTACCATATACTGCCATATCCAACGGTTCGTAAAATCCTTCGTCTTGCTTAAAGATATTTTTGGACTGATCGTTTTCTAAATCGACCAGACTGACTGTGTTCTTCATGGCAGGGGCTCGGTGACGGGTGGGAAGGGAGGACGGGGGCAGAGAGTATTTTCTCTATGAAAGACTCGGGATTGAACATTGTTCCTGAAATGTGGCATTGAGAGAAAAGCTTTAGCAGCCTCGATGTTCACCAGAGTGGGGGCTCGCGGCATAGCGAATATTTTCAAGGCAGACATGCACGGGTGTCAATAAGTATCCTTTTGGGAAGGTCACTGGCCCTGCTTACGTCTGAATTGGCCTACTCCCAAGGGTTAGTTTGACCCCAACCTCCTGGAAAATAAGTGCAAGCAGAATATTTTAAAATGGAGCTCAATGTTTTATTGATTTGAAAGAAAGCTGTCGAGAAATGTTTCACAGATAAAGCGAGGGCATGGAAACCCGCAATATCCTGTCCAGTTAAGTACAGCTCATTGAGCTAGTCGCAGTTTAGACTTCCGCGCCTATACCGTATACCGTACTCATATTTACTTGATTATTTTCTGTTTGGCTGCATGGTGTGTGATTTTTGTTACAAACTTCATGTCTTCTTGACTTTGGCCTGGTTTTATTGTGCGACATTATTCAGTGAAGTTTGAACTTCTACAGCCTGCAATCATTTGCGTTATTCTGCCTCGACGTCATATCCGAAGCTATAGAAGCAACACAGGGCAGGTCGTATCGGTGAATCGTCGGTCAACGAACAACAACAACAACAAACAAACATATTAGTCGCAGCTTTGTTTTAGGTCGCATATTAGCGCAAGGAAACGTGACGAATCTACGAACCGTGTACGTTCGGAAGTACCCTTGACATGTGTCAGCCTCAACTTCAACGTAAAGTTTCAATGAAACAATCTTAAAAGCCTGATGATCGACACCAGCCGACTAAATCGATCGTGGAAATGGCTCGACAGCCACCACCATCAAAATAAACCAGCGGTGTCGGATATACTTCAGTCGAGCGCTGCTTTCTAGCCCGCAGCCCCCCCCCCCCCCCCCCCCCACTGCGGCCAGGAGCTTCCGTGACAGACTCGGAAAGTGGCGCACATCAACTAACATTATGTATCCCGAAACTGTGCATGTGAAACAACATCTAAAGCCACACGCCAACGGCCCTTTCTGCTACCTCGGCCCTATGGCGATAACTGAAAGCTGGCTTCGACCGTCAATGCCAAACAAAATTATCATGCCGCTCGATGACAACATCTCCCGCCGATGCAGCGCGAGAGAACGTGGTAGGCCAGGGATGTAGCTTCCCATTCAGCTGTTTTCCATCCAGCTGCTTCCTATTCCATTTATTTATATTCCATCGCTTCCCATTCAGCCCAGCGTCCCACCTCCTCCAACTTCGAGAGGTGTGTCGAATCTAAGAAGACACCTGACGTTATTACATTTTTGCTCAAGTTTAGCCATTGTCCCCAGCTCACCATCTAAGCCCATTTTGCAAAACCGCACCCCTGTGGTGGAGGCTTAGTGATGGCCACACACGGCGGCTTCACAACCACATTACTTCAGTATCCAGCGCACAGGATAGCTCCCAAGCAGACAGCGGCTGGATAAAAAGACAGCTGGATCAAAATTACTGTAAGGCAATCAACACCAGCGACGTAGAGGCACCACAGTTTTCGTGGATCTTAACCGATTGAAGACGAATTGCCCGCTGAAGTGTGTTCTCGCACTGCACACTGCATGCAAGCATTGAAGACGAATTGCCCGCTGAAGTGTGTTCCCGCACTGCACACTGCATGCAAGTAAGGTGACCAATGGAAGAATATGAGGTCTACATAGGTGCAATGTCGAACTGAAGTTGTGTGATGTTTCTGGAACACAAATGAGAAAACTGCAGCTTTTGGAGGGCAACTCCATGGCATACACATGCAAACCATGATTAAAGTCGAAAACCGCCAGAAAAAAAATGTGGAGGCAATAGCCACACACACAAATGGCGATGATGGAGCGCGTACCTTCATTCATTTCAACCACTTGCTAACGCTTGGTATCTTGGTGAGACGTTCTTGTCTTACGCATGACTGTGGCAGGCTTTTCTTTGACTTGCTTCCTCGCAAGCCATGGCAGCAGCTGGGGAGTAATCTTCTTGTCCCGAGATTGGCGCTGCATCCGCTGCTGCATTGACGCTGATTGGCCAGCGCCCGCAGCGGTGGAGTCGCGGGCATTGGCTACCATTAAATAGATGCTACGGTCCGGTTGCCCGCCACGAGAACACGGTCTCGCTCTGAGCCGTCGAGGCAGACATCCGTCCTGCAGGTCCGGGAAATTGGTGAAGGCCTCCGTATGGCCGCGCGCTACGGCGGACGTCCCGTTAGCAGGTGTGTGGTCCGGGCTGTTCTGCAAGAAGCCGAAAATGGAGCCTTTGCTATGTGTAAAGTGTAGTGTACGCGGTCGGCGCTGATTATAGTTTACTTCACCTATAACTGGATGCACGAGAACAGCCCAGGTATGACGTGCGTCAAATTCGTCAGGTGTTGAGCCATTTTTTCGCTCACCGAAACCGTGTCGGCACCCACGTTCCACTCACTCAGCGGACATAAGTCACCGTGTTATCGCGGACATGGACGCATTATCGTGGAAGTGGTTATCACCACCTCTCCGAACCAGATCCAACACACGGACGCCGCGCCCAGCCAGTGCAGTGACCATGACCTGGCCAATTCTACCTTAAACGTGAAACGGAGCAAAACAACAGCAAAAAGGTGTGCACAGCTTTCGCCGGATTAACACTGACGTGCAGGCACAGAATGTTCCTGATCATCTTGAAGTCCCTCTTGACTTGATAAACCGTTATAACATGAAGACCAGGTTCACAACGCGACCGCCATCCCCGTGTTCGACGCTCCTCTTAGCTGCGTGCGGTAAACTAATGATAATCTTCCGCGGAGACATTCAATGACGCGTTGAAGCGACGAGACCCGGAAGCCCACACCGCATTATCTGTGGCAGCATTGGTGGCAAGGGACATAGCCAACTGAGCTTCCAGATACGCTGATAGGTCAGGTCAACAGATTCTTCACTGACATCGAGAGAAAGACCTCCGACAATGTACTGTCAGCGACTTCGTTGGGTACACGAAGTGCTGTTACACGCTTGCGCGCAAGCTGCTTTGCCTACGACCTGCGACAGAACATGAATTAAAATCCACTGTGGTGTCGATGAACACCAGCGGCGCCTGTGGTAGCGATGCCAAGATGCCTCATGTTGCCAAGGTCTGCCAGCCAGTTCTGATAACAGCGTAACCACACATTGTCAACTAAGGTTTTGTGTCTGGGATGCTGTTGCAGAGGCGGACCCAGGATTTTGTCAAGCGGAACACGCAACCTTTTGCCCCCCCCCCCCCCCCTTCTATGGTTCGTGGCCGCTTCTTCCAATTTTTGTTTTCTGGTTATTAAATTCCAAGTTTCTCTCACATGCTAATTTTTATACGGAAACGCATTTTACTGTATGCAGCTCTAGAAAACTCGGCGTGCTACGGAGACAAAATACATTGAACTTATTTATTTTCTTCAGATCATGGTGGATTTCGTCATTTTGAGTCTAAGTATTTCGGAGAAAACATGGCAAAATGTATTAAAGCCGGCTGCTAAATGCCATCAAAATCCAGCACGAACTTGATTCATAGCATATTTACGGCTAGCCGGCCAGTCGATATGATCAGCTGATGGCTGATCACTGAAGGAGAATTTCTACCACATGTAGAAATTTCTACCACAATTTCTACAAATGTTGTAAGTATTACAAAACATGTTTCTGTTAAAAAGGGATTTAAAATGTGAAACACAAGCGTAATAAGCCTCACAAACTCAATAGCCAATGGAATGGCTGGAGAACCCCGCAATCATGATGGGCTTCCGTTCTGAATGAAACATCGCTCTGACTCGCGGGCCGTTGCACGCGTTATTGTCTAGATAAGGTCTGTCACTGCTTTAAATACTCATAAAGATATCCTAGGAATACGGATGACGGAGAAATTCATTTCACTTTATGTGTGTCAAGTCATCTGTCACTTTTGAAATGTACAGACGAGCCATACTCGATTATGCCCCAACATTTACCTGAAAGAGAAAATGTTGGGGCATAATCGAGCACGTCTCAGGATCTATGATATTGCTCCAATACCAGCGCTCACAAAGTTCCATAGAAACCTGTGCCTGCAATACCGATCATCTTATTATTGAAGCCTCCTCTCGGCCTCTCTTTAACAAGCATTGTTAATGCTTCATAGTTTGACTTTAGATATTCCATACAGCTCACTCGGTCTTCAACTGGAGAAACAGGAAACTGTTATCAGTGCGACCATTTCAAGGCGCTGGCAGGACATGTCCCTCCCAATTTTCTGAAATGTGGTTTTGTCCCCTCCAAACTTTCCTATAGTTAGCATGTTTTCAAGTTTTCCATTAAAATGTCATTTTCAGGTCAGGCTGTCCCCCCCCCCCCATTCCAGGCCACCCTCTACAGTCCTGATTTCCCCAATCTCAGAGATCGGGTAACACCCACGTGGACTACATAGTTCGAAAATCTCTAAATAGTCTACCTGATATTGATAAAAGACAGATGCTTGGAGATATCAACGTGGTTAAGCCGTTTTTCCAGCCGACAATGCAAGTAGGAAAAGGTCGCAGGAGGCTAAAGAAATCTTGAAAGATTTCACGCTCACACAACCGTCTTGGGAATGCTTGGGTATTTCTAAGTTTTCCCTGATCGAACCCCTGCCATCGGCCATCGCTGAGACAAACTGACTATTTCCCCCAAGTCTCTCGGCAGTCGGATTCGGGATTCGCCTCGGTAAGTCATTTTTCAGTTCTGCGGAATCGCCCCAGGCAACC